AACTTGTCCGAGGTTTCATGGTAATTAACCTTGTTGTGAAGTTTGAAGTTAATCCGTTAATAATTACTCGAGATATCGAGCGGACATCGTTTGCCCGCCCGCCCGCTCACGTGATAACATAATACGTCCCCTTCTTCGACGGGCGTATAAAAATCATCATTGTAAATTGGTGGAATGATTCTAGATAAAGATAATACTAATTACCTGATCTGGCAGGTTTGGCGGAGGTCTTTGCAGCAGGTGAGCGTGTTGTGGTTTGTTTTGGCGGTGCTCCCATAGCCTGATTTTGCCGGCTTCCTAATGCGTCATATTCTTCTCCACCATAATTGGCATCAAAGAATTTTTTAAACCATTGTAAAAATTCAAAATTATCTTGAAAACGTCCCTTTACAAGTCTTTCTACTGGAATAACCTATTGAAGTGAAAATGTAATGACAATTAAAATGGTTTACATCTTTAACAAAAAGTAAAAATATTTTCAAGCTCTAGTGACACTATTTTTAATGTTATAATAGCATTAAACAAATAATGTAGAACCTTTAAAATTATAAGGCTTAAAACTTTATTTAATAATGTTAACATGGACATTTTTGCCAATATTTACTTACAGAATCCTGAAATACTACCATGTAAAAATTTCCAAATAGCAATCAGTAACACGGGTACCGCGAAAGCGGGCCAAAATACGCTTGTCATACATTGAATGAGCAGTTGTCTGTAAAGGGCCATAACTCTGTTAATTATGTTCCGACCATTGCAGTTATCAAACTTATCCAAGCTTATATGGTCATGAACCTTCCTATGAAGTTTGAAGTAAATCTTTCTAAACATTTTCTTCAGGTAGGTAAATATGGATTATTAGAAGTTCTTTTTACACAAACAATAAAATCTTCTATGTGACGTTTCGATTACTTGTACTACATGTTCTCTATCACCTTCATCAGACAAATGACCAATGAAGTGTATGCACACAAAGATGTAAAATGTGTACGAGTTGTCAATAAAATCGATGTAGATTTCGGCTACGCTGGAAACGTATGTACAATAGTTGTTATATATGTACCGAAATGACTCAATTCAGCTACGCTTTGTTTACACTTGGTCATAGATGTGCTAGAGTCTTTGAGCCCCCTCGTCTTGATTTAGAACTGGCCCACTACGGCGTATCCAGATGGCTGCTTGAACAAATTGCTCTCTCTGTCCAAAACTTTGGAGTTATCCCAGTCAATCACATGGTTTTTCTGTGTGGCATGGTCTGTGATTGCAGATTTATTTATCTGGAACTCCGACTGTTTTCTTTCAGATCTGGTGTACTGTAACTCCGACTGTTTTCTTTCAGATCTGGTGTACTGTACACCCAAGATCCACAAGCAGGGAAACCCACTGAGGCCTATTGTGGACTACACTGGATCCATTGGTTACAATGTTTCCAGATCTTTAGCAGACATTCTTGGACCACTAGTGGGTAAATTGCTGGAGTTTGTGCTCACAACAACATAGTTTAGTTTCCGGAACAACATTTATCAACAACGCTTCGGCACTGCTATAGGTAGTCCAGTGTCTCCCATTGTTGCCAATTTGTTCATGGAACATCTGGAGCAAGAAGCAATAGCCACTGCCCCCATAGAATGCAAGCCTAGCACAGATAGATTTGACCACACATATCAACACCATAGATGCCATAAACAACATCAAATTTACATTCGAGGAAGAAACCAATGCCCTTCCGAGACACTCTATTGATAAAGAAAGGAAACAGAACCGTGAAGGTATTGGTCTTTAGATAAAAGACCCATACAGACCAATACCTGAACTTCAAATATCACCATCCTATGCACCAGAAGTTAGTCGTCATACGCACATTGCTCAACAGATGTCATACAATAGTCACAGAACAACAGGACAAAACACAAGAGCAGAATCACATCGATAGGGCAAGGATCATGAGCATATCCGGAATGGGCCCTAAAACGGGTAAAAAACCCAGTGTCAAAGTAAGGAGAAGAACAAGAAAAGGCCAATCAAGGATAAGAACAAAACCAAAGGTCAAGTGGTTATCCCGTATATAAAGGGTATAGCAACAACCATGAAGCCCCACAAGACGCTTAGCAATATCCTATTACACCTTAAGGATAAAACATCTAAAGAAAACGTCGCAGAATGCATATACAAAATCGGATGCAAAAACTGTGACGCGTCGTATATTGGAGAGATTGGAAGGCAATTTGGGGTCCACCTTGGTGAACACCGGAAAACCACAGAAACCCAAGAAGGTAGGAAATTCACCAGATCTGAAAGAAAACAGTCAAGAGTCCCAGATAAATAAATCGGCAATCACAGACCATGCCACACAGAAAAACCATGTGATTGACTGGGATAACTCCAAAGTTTTGGACAGAGAGAGCAATTTGTTCAAGCAGCAGATAAAGGAAGACATCTGGATACGCCGCAGTGGGCCAGTTCTAAATCTAGACGAGGGGGCTCAAAAACTCTCGCACATCTATGACCAAGTGTTAAGAAAGCGTAGCTAAATTGAGTCATTTCGGTACATATATAACAACTATTGTACATACGTTTCCAGCGTAACCGAAATCAACATCGATTTTATTGACAACTCGTACGCCTTTTACACCTTTGTGTGCATACGCTTCATTGGTCATTTGTCTGATGAAGGTGAAAGAGTACATATCATACAAGTCATCGAAACGTCACATAGAAAATTTTATTGGTTGTGCAAAAAGAACTTCTCATAATTTGAAGTAAATCCATAGAAAACTACTCGAGAAATCAAGCGGACACTGTTTTGGGCAATTGAAAAAGGGCCTAACTCGGTAAATTACGGTCCGACAATTGCAGCTATCAAACTTGTCTAGAGCTATCATGGTAATGAATCTTCCTAGTTAATTAATTGAAAACTACTTGAGATATCCACTGGATACCATTTCGGAAAGTGGTAGAAGCGCCCAAACTCCATATCAAACTTGTTCGAGCTATCATGGTAATGAACTTTCCTATGAAGTTTGAAGTTAATTCATTTAAAACTTCTGCAGATATGGAGCGGACACTGTTTGGGCAAATGAATAAAGGGTCATAACTCTGTAAATTACAGTCAGATAATTGCATTTATCAACCTTGTCTGAGCTATCATGGCAATGAAGCTTCCTATGCAGTTTGAAGTTAATCCATAGAAAACTACTCCAGATATCGAACGGACACCGTTGTGGAAAGTAGATAAAGGGCCCTAACTCTGCAAAATACCATCGGATATTGGTGGTTCTCGAACTTGTCTGAGCTGTTATGGTAAAGAACCTTCTAATATGAAATTTGAATTTAATCTGTTGAAAATTAATGAAGATATCGAGCGGATACTAAGCGCACCTGCCCACCCATCCGCCCGCCAACGTGATAACATAATATGTCTTTCGACCGGTGTATGAAAATTCATAAAGCAAACCTTTCCACTTAATAATTATAACAGTACCACAAATTAAAAGTTTATACAACATGGATTCCCAAAGAAATGAATAGCTGGGTGCTAAATTTTCTATTCATAAAAAAAACAAAAACATTTAGTTTACTGATCATAGGTAAATATTTCATACATCTATTTTTTGTAGAAAAAGTAAACCTGAAAGTTTTGCTACAGATTAAAAAAATAAATATATTTTGACATAAATAGACATTCTCAGCTGGCATATATTTGAATTATTTGACATAAAAGCATCCCTTCATAAAGGAACCTATAACACATATGCATTGTAGTTCATGTCATGTGAAGACTTTACGGAAAAAGAGCTTTTGTTCAGGCAAGTTTCTTATAAGTTTCAGGCAAATTTCTTATAAGTTACATTTTGAAGCAAATTATTTATAATTAATCATGAAGTCAATTATGATTTATTTTATTATAAATCAAATTATAGTACTCAAATAAATTTTAAAAGAATATTGATATAGCTTTTTTCGGAGGATTTCCTCCCCCCCCCCCTCCCCCCAGTTATTATATAAGGGCAAAGTTAGATAACAGAGGGAAAAAAAGGTGCATTCTAATAGGATCTATGTGTTATTAGACAAGACGGTTAATACAATTGAGGTACTAGGTATAACTGGCAGGTTTTCAATTAACATGCAGAGGATTGGAAAATAGTCATTAACAAACAATCTACAGAAATGTGGATATGTGATGAAACATACATGCACTATTTACTAACCGGTTCATTATCAGCAATTGTAAATCTAAATAAAGATTGACTAGAAATTTCATTGAATTTCTTTTTGTTCCGATATTATGAGATACAAAATATACAAACAATTTCCTCATTGTCAATTAATTGAGCTGTTCTTACATGAATGTTAATATAAAATTATACATTCTAAATTTTTAATTTCCAACTGGAAAAATTAAGATTAAAGATAGTTTCTAAATTGGAAATAGATATAATGGACTCTGAATGTTTCTAAATCAGATGTCTAAAAAGATGCTCCATTTGGTTATCATTACATTTCAATACAGATTTTACATGAACGTTTTTGACATCGGGTCCATACAACAACCACAAACTGTCTCCATATCTTCTGTATAGACTACTTTTTTAAGTCCATAAAACATTATACCAACCTTATTAGAAGTCAATTATTGAAAAATATTTACATCATCTTTTTTTTTAGTATTCTTCATGTGAAAGGTCATTATATCATGAAAACTATCAATGATATTCAGAAGTGACATTTTAAAGCCATAGATTATTATTTAAGTTGGAAAGAAAAATCTTACCTGGTAACAATTCACTCTTCGACAGATAATAATTTAATTTGCAGATATTTAAGACAGATGTCGCAGACATCTTTTACCATTAATATCATTCTGCTATACAAATGTCAATCTCTGGCATTAAACTTGTTTATAGTGATGAAGTTGAAACCTCACTTTATTCATTGATTTTTTTCTCTCTTATTACAATACTCATTTCTTTAAGCTTACCTTTCTGTTATCAACATTTTAATATTCAATTATGTTTAGAAGCTAGTTTTATTAAGTAGATGATAAATTTTGACTTTAAAAAAAAAAGGAGAATGATATCGCCTGCACCAGCTTACTGCAGGTGGACTAATAGTGGAATGATAGCTATTTACACTTGGATGTCTTTAATCTAATATACATGTATTTGCTGTTGTTTCATTGATCAGATTTGCAGCAGCATTGTAAAATATGCACAAAATTATCAAAGCATCGAACTTGAGCAAAGGGGCTAGGTTATTCAGTATACCAGGCTAGTAACAAATTTGATACGTCCTTTTAAAGATATCATCTGGAAACAATTTGTAAAACAATAATAAAAGTTGGATCAAGTTTCATAAAAGCAAGATTCATAAGAAAGAATTTAAAACTTTGTGATTGTAATTGTAAAATGAAAATTTGAGTTTAATTTAAAGCTATTCAACTGGACTAATCCACTTTGGCATCGGAAGAGTTTGCAAGATACAAAGATGATTGACCAATTTCGAGTGCGAAATACAATGTACATGGCATAGACTTTTTATGTACATGTGGTAAAAAAAAACAAAAAAAAACAACGTTTCTATAAAGACCAAAATAAACACAAGTTACAAAACTACATTGATATTTAAAGCTGTTTTTTTCCACAATACAGATATGTTGGGGATAAAACCACTATTTACACACAATTAAGCACACTGTAAACAAGAGGCCCATGGGCCTTAACGGTCACCTGAGTCTATAGTATTTATTTTTGTTGTTGAAATATGTACCAATTTGAGTAAAAAATAGTATAATGTTAACTTAACTTTGTCAGGACCATGAGCTGATCATTCCTAGACCAATTTTAAGTGAGATCGGCCTATTAGAACTTAGTAGCAAAATAGCGGCCATGGCAGCCAAATTGTATTTCTGATTGACCCGAAAAATAACAACACTTTGTCAGGACCATGATTCGATCATTCCTACAAAGTTTCAGTTCAATCGGCCAAGTAGATCTTTACTTTAAGTTTGAAATAGTTT